ATGCTGGAACCTCGCTGATTTGCAACCAAACAGCTGAGTAGAACAGATGTGGCCCTGCCTCATCTACACTGTGTCCCATTCTAGCTGCCAGCATCTGTACTGAAAATAAAGGTGCTTTCTTTAAGGAAGTATCCTAATATGTTAAAGCATACCACCCGAAATCATATGTGCCTCTTTCTCGGCCTAGTTAAATGCAGCCACACCTTAAGAGATCAAGGTTTGTTTGAATCTGTAAAATCTCACGGCCTGTAGTGTTTGTGATTTGAAACCTACCACCATTACAAGGGGGTGAAAATCTAGTCGTGTCTACGTGGGAACCAAAGACTTATGGCTATGAAAACATCTCTCTGTTGTTACATTTCTCTCTACGGTTTTCAGTTTGGTATACCAGCCATTTATTGAACTATTGTGAGCCACGACCTGTTCCAGGAATAGTGGAGGATACAGAGGTAGCCAGGCTTTGCTCTGCCAAACTGCTGAAGCCGAGACATACAGCTCTTGGAGTTAAACCGTACAGCTGCCAATGTTTCACTCCCAGATGGCCTGCTTGGGCTGGACGTGCTTACCTAGCGTCTGTGAGACCCCAGGTTCAACCTTCACCAACACCAAAACTAAGCAAACAGGCTCTCTGGCGGCAGTGCATAGCTATCAAAAGTGTCCATATGCCAGCTAGATCCCTTGTTTAACTGTGCAGTGACCCACACTGAGAAATTAGGGCGGTGGTATCCAGTGGCTCCGAGGATGGTCAAAGAGCCAAGATTTCAACAATTGCCGTGCATACAAAACCTGTGCGTGTGGCTGCTTAGTGCGGAGAGCTAGCTCGGCACAGGAGGCACAGTTGGTTGTGATCCTAAGCCAACAATCCCTCGAGTTCCTCCTATCTTGTACATTTCTAACCACAGAGATGCCAGATGATTTCGGAGCCGTCCGGTTCTCTTTCTTACAAGACAAAGTTCCTCTGCTTGCCCTTGACCAACGTTATCGTTATCGGCAGTCCGTCAAACACCCGAAGCATGGATTCCTCTACTCACCCGTTGTCTTTACTGTGAGCTGAATGTGGTTAGACACACTCTTTTTTGAGCTTTTTGAAATAAATTTTCTTGAGGATTCAAGCCAATAAAAGACACGAATCTATGCAGTGGACTGAAAGGTTCAAAGAGACAACTGGCAGAGTTGGGCTTCGGTGAGAGGGGACGGTCCTCGAGGAGTGACCAGGCAGTGGAGGGTGAAGTGGAAGAGAAGGTCAGTTTATTAACAACCCTGGTCCCTAACCTAGATAGTAGGCTTCAATCAGCATATAGTAGTGAACTCAAAGGAATCTGGGCAGAGAAGCAACTCGAGATGGCTCTAAAAAAAAAAAAATGATGCTGAAAACTGATGTATCAACAGGCAACTGTTGTACCAGGGAAGACCGAAAGGACTCTAACTCTGCACAGTGGGAGAAAGAATGAAAAGCTGGGGGAGAGTCATTTTACAGCAGCAGCAGCAGCAGCAGCAGCAGCAGCAGCAGCATTCCATCACACCCACGGGAAGCGATATTGCTAACAGCTGTCGTTTGCTAAGTACTTATTACATGGTAGGGGCTTTGCTTAGTACCTCTCGTTTCATCTTTACCCCCATAAAGTGGATCTTATTATGTAAGTTAGCAAGAGAATTCAGCTTGTATTAGGTCACATATCTGAGAACTGTTGCAAATGGAATTTAAATTCAAGTTTAAATAGAAAATAATAAACTTCTTAAAAAAGATTTATTTATGTTTACTATACAGTGTCCCATCTGCATGTATGGCTGCAGGTCAGAAGAGGGCACCAGATCTCATTACAGATGGTTGTAAACCACCGTGTGGTTGCTGGGAATTCAGGTCCTCTGGAAGAGCAGCCAGTGCTCTTAACTACCAAGCCATCTTTCCAGCCCCTACACTTTTTTTTTTTTTTAAAGTGAGCTGGGCAGTGGTGTTTCGTGCCTTTAATTCCAGCATTCGGGAGGCAAAGGAGGAAACTTTTTAAAAATTCAAGGCCAGCCTGGTCTATAGAGTGAGTTCCAGAACAGCCAGGGCTAGACAGAGAAACCCTCTCTTGAAAAACAAAACCAAAAAGTTTGTATTTACATGAATATGCCGTGTGTAGGAGGGGTACACTTGGAGCCTGGTACCCAGGAGCTGAAGTTACAGGTGGTTGTGAGCTGCCTGAGGTGTGCTGGGTGAGTAAACTGCTAGGTTCTCTGGAGAAGCAAGTGCTCGTAACCACTGAGCTACCTCTTACATTCTTAATTTATGTGCTCTAAAGAATTAATCCATTTGAGCTGAAGAGAATGCTGGACTCACAACCAAATATTTATTGAGCACTTTATATATGCTAGGCACCGTCCAAATTCATCTGATTTTTGCCTTCTTGGCGCTTAAGAGTAAGGATAAAAGGACAATAAGAAGTGAATACAGTTTTTGTTTTGTTTTTCTGGATTTCCCAGTGTGAGCAGCCATGAACAAGAGTCTCTGGAGACACTCTGAATCACGCAGTGTGGGAAATCCTGCACAGGAACCAGCATAAGTGCCTGGAAACAGTGGAGCTGCAGATGAGCCTACAAAATGTCAGGAGGGCAAATGCTTCTCGGGCCCCATCAGCCTAAGTTCACTCCCTGTCCCGGGTTCTCTGTGTGCGTCCTGGAGGACTGGCAGCATTGTGATGAGGCCAAGGCTGAGGCACTAAAGAAGCTTAGCAAGAGTAAGAAATAGGACAAGAAGTTGGCCCCAAAGTGCCATGCCTTTTTGTCCTCCAAGTCTCTGATCAAGCAGATCCCAAAATCCTGGGCTCGGGTCTAAATAATGCTGGCAAGTTCCCTTCCCTGATGGCACACAATGAAAATATGGGGTCAGTCAAGCAGCGGTGGCACATGCCTTTAATCCCAGCACTTGGAAGGCAGAGGCAGGAGGATCTCTGGGGGTTCGAGGCCAGCCTGGTCTACAGAGGGAGTTCCAGGGCAGGCTTCAAAGCTACACAGGAAAACCCTGTCTCAAAAAACGAAAGAGAGAGAGAGAGAGAGAGAGAGAGAGAGAGAGAGAGAGAGAGAAAGTAAAATATGGGGTCATGTTGATGAGTTGATGAAACCCACATCAAAATGAAGAGGGTCCTATGTCTAGTTGTTGCTGGTGTTCACATGACAATGAGGGATGATAAGTGGTCTGCAACATCCAGCTGGCTGTCCATTTCTTGGTGCCATTGCTCAAGATCCGGATTGTATACATCAGGAACCTGCTGCCTGCAATAGAGCTCACCCTAAGAAATCTCAGTGCCACCATAAAATGAATAAAACGATGACTTATAAGGAGCCAGCTGACATCAGGAGCAGGAGGAGGGGACACTTTGGAACTGACTGCTGTAAGGTACAGACTGTGAGTACAAAAGCAGGCTTTGGCTTAAGGAAAGAGAGGAGGAATTCCATCTGTACCCATTTGAGATTTTGAAATGTCTGCTTACTTGACAGAGGCGACTAGGGAAAATTCCGCTTCCAAGAAGTGTCCAGTGTGAGACCTAAATTTGAGAGACATCTGGATTCTTAGGGACTAAAGGAGTGTGTCTCACACACACACACACACACACACACACACACACACACACACACGCACACAGTCTTACAGAGAACTCCTTATCCATGACTGTTAAGGCAAATGGTAGGAATTGCAGTACACCTGGCTGAGAGACTGAGAAAAAGCACTCAGAGGTCAGGAGTTAATTCTGAAGTAGGGACCATGCTGGAAACAAAGGACAACAGCTCTTATCAGAGATCTTGGGAATTGGAGCTGGAAAGTCCCGAGTGTTCCAGAGAGCTGTTTACATGGACTACTTTCTTAACCGTGTTTCACTTTGGGATGTCCTTTTCTTCCTCGTTCTTTTTCTGTGCAGTCCTGGTTGTCCTGGAACTCACTCAAGGCTGGCCTTGAATCCAGAGATCTCCCTGCCTCTTGACTTCCAAGTGCTGGGATTAAAGATGTGCCCCAACACACCTCGCTTATAGTTTATACCCGGGGGGGGGGGGGGGTGTAAAAGAAGAAAAACCTTAACTCGAGAAATTAAAACTCCCTTGTGAAGAATCTCTTCTTTAAATGTTTTGCTTTGAAATAAGTGGTTTTAGAGAGTATGCAGCAATCTTAATATTTCAGTACTATAGCAATAAGCTGTCACAAATATTGGTGTGAACAAACCTTTTTTATCTAGGGGGAAAACAGGTTAATATTATGCTTCAAATTGTACATTCACTAAGCAGGTGTGCCTTGGGGTGTACAATGTGCAGTTTACAGTTTGCAAAGCCACCAGTTTTCCAGGATCTACTTCACCTTCTTGGAAGTACTTTTGGTACCATCCAACACCAGCTTCTGTGAAGCGCCTAGCCTTTGGATCTTGCTCATTGTCAATTAAGACTGCTTAACCTCAGGTTCCCATTACTTGTATTTCAACCTCAATTCCACTTTTAAGACACACACACCAAAAACAAACAAAAACAAAAACCAAAAAACTGTCCTGCTGTTCAAAGGAAGGTTTTGCCAGACTAGAAGAAAACTTTTGTTTTTGCCAGTGGCTTCGTCAACCTGCCGTCTTTCGGATCCTACATTAAGGGTTGCTGCTACGGTAGCTGCATTCCTCTCTCCCCCAAATCTTAGAAGCGGCGGGTAAAACGAAGGTCAGGAAAAACAAAGCCAGAACTCCAGTAAGCAGGAAAGCTAGTACAGGCGCCCGAACGATCGACGGTAGCCTTGATCACACGGTCTCCTGAGGTCACTGGAGGTCACAGATAGGCAAATCACTACTGCGGACCCCTTGAAAACTTCCTCCTTTGGCCAATTTACTCTCTAGAAAGCCCTAACGGCCGCGACCCAGAGCCGCTCGTCGGAAAGCGCGCCGGAGAGGGGCCACGGGACCAGACCACGCCCACTTAGAGGCGGGGCTTCGGGACTCGCCCCTCCCCTCCCGGAATCAGCGCGGGTCCCCTGAGAGGCACACCAGAGCGGAAGCCCCTCGGCCGGTGCTCCGGAAGCAGTAGCCATTACTTCCGTGAGGGACTTGTGTGCCTGGGGTGTGTGCTACGGGGTGCATTTTGTGTTTGAAATAGGGGGTACGCCATGTCCCGTGGGTCCAGCGCCGGTTTTGACCGCCACATTACTATTTTCTCTCCCGAGGGCCGACTCTACCAAGTAGGTGAGTGAACCGGGGCCGCCGGTGGGACACCCGAATTGCTCTGTCATGCTTCGGCCTGGAGCGAGCAGACGCGGCCCAAGCAGAGTCTGGGGCTTGAGGCAGGGCCCGGACCGGGAAAGGAGAAGGATCGAGGTCGGGTTCCATCTCGTATTCCCATCCCCGTCTGCAGGCGGACTTTTAGGCCGAAACCGAACCGGGCTGCCTTCAGAAGGGCCTTACTGTCCAGACACAAAGAGTTAGGTCTTGCCCTGCAGTGCCTGCCTCCGGCTTCCGGAGTCCCCTTCGCTCAGCGGCTCCCAGCCTTCCTAAAGCTGCGACCCTTTAACACAGTTCCTCATGTTGTGGTGATCCCCAACCATAAAATTAGTTTTGTTGCTGCTTCAAAACTGTAACTTTGCTACTTTTATGAAACGTAATGTAAATATGTGTTTTCGACGACCCCTGTGAAAGGGTCGTTGGACCCCCCCAAAGGAATCGTGACCCACATGTTGTGAATCTCTGCCTTAGCTCCATCCTACCTGGAGCCCGAGTCTTCCCTGGGAGTGATTGGTTCCTTACCCAGCCATCTAAAATGCAACCCCTTGTCCCCCTTTGGCTTTCTTTGTGGTCAGTTCTATACAAGCATGCAAAGCCTTACCCTACAGACACTACTGCTTCTGGAAAAGGGATAAATGTCACTCGCCCCTAATGAAGCTCACAGCTTAATGGAAGTGACAGATGTGAAGCCGAATGGATGGATAAAGAGAGAGGAGTGCAATCTTTGCAGAGTTCAAAACTGCACGCTAATAATTTTACCCGTCTCTAGGAACGCCCTGTACTTTTGAAGCTCGATCTAGTGGAGGCACAGTGTTAATCTCTACTGAAAGAACAGCTTTAATAGAAACCTGAACTGTCGGTTACTGCGTGTAACAGTAGATTTTGGTAAATTGAGATCGTGGCAGGGTTTAGGTAAGGAGTATAGGACAGACTTATAAACTCTTGCCACAGAAAATTTAGTGTCAGTAGGGCCTGATGCACATCTGGTCCATGATAATTTTATTCTGGAGTAAGTCATTTATCTCAGTGTCTTGGCAAGGAGAATGTACTGCCTTGGTTGACAGGCCTAGAGTTGGCCTATACATGGAGTTCTACACCTACACATCGAGAAGTCAGGTTAAAGAAGGTGGCCTGCTGTACAGTGTAGCTACATCCATTGTATGTGGTGTGGCAAAGGCCATCAGCGTTTAAGTAATTTGGTAACCCACTTAATCCACCTCATTTGAAGGTTGTGATACGAAGTGGTGTCCCGATCAGGGACTTTTTTTAGTGTTTTATTTCTGAGTTTCAGAGAATTTTTTGTGTATTAGATTATTGTTGTTTGAAATGTTGTTTTTGTTTTTAAGTTAACAGAAAAAGCCACACTTGAACTTGTATCTTGTTTCTGTAAAGTGCTTTGTAGAAACTGGCCATCAAGCAGTCTCAGTGCTTCCCGAGTTTGGTGGATAGGAAGGCAGCGTGTCGTGACATTTTAGTAGGACTCGGGAGAGAAGATGGAGCTGAGAGCAAGTTTAGTAGCAGACAGTGGTTTCAATCGGCTGGATAACGTTCCCTTTGTTATTCAGGACATCAGTTAGGCCTTGTGGAGAAGAAGAAAGTGAAAGAGTAGTCTGAGCAAGCAGTGTAGAGTGCAGAGTGCAGGACTCGCAGCCGAGCCTGGGTTACAGTACTGTGCCTGTGCTCCATGCTAGCTGGCCTGGGCAACTATAATCTTTGCTCAATTTGTGTTTGCAAAATTGGCCCTATAGTTCCTCCTCTTGTGGTTGTTGTGAGGATTAAATAAGGCAATCCTTATAGATCACTTAGTGTGAGCATTTGGTATGACAGAATGCCTATTCTTTGGCTTTAAAAAGAAAAAAATCTGTTAATTAGGATCTCTATAGATAAGGAGTCCCTTTCTTTAGGTCCAGCCTAGTTTGCTGGTAAAATATGTGCGATCATCCACAGTACTGTAAGTGCTGTGTATCAGGTTCACACGGACTCCCTCAAAGACACACCATCCAAGAACTATAAAAATACAAACTGTTAACCTAGACAGCTGAAGAATAATATAACCAGTTGGAGTGATGGTAAGGGAAGTAAGGATTGATAGAATGTTCCTCATTTGCCATAGTTTAAGACTCAAAGGTCCCATAAGGGATTCGGAGTAGTGTTTGCCTAGCATGCCTGAGCATCTGTATTTATTCCCAACACCAAAATAAATACATAGCAGTAATGAAGGCATACATTTAAATTACAGTACTAAGTATGAATAAAAACAGGATCTGGAATTTTAACAGCAGTAGAGTTTTTTAAAAAAATAACACCTTGGTAACTATTGAATCTTTTTCTTTAGATCTTAAAATAATTTTTAAAAGTACATTTTATGTATTTTGTATGTGCAGAGGTCAGAGGACAACCTAGGAGTCAGTTCTCTCCTCCTACTGTGTAGGTCCTGGGAATCAAGTCAGGTGTCCTGATACTAGCCGGTGTCGTTACCTCCTGAACAAGCTGTCTGCCTGGCCCTGAAATATTTTCCCCTAAATATTTATTTTGCAAATAGTGTGTGTTGTGTGTGTGCACGCGTGTACTTGTGTGCCTGCTCAACATGGGTGCTAGGAACCAAATGTCCTCTGCAAGACCAATACACTCTTAACTCTTGAACCATCTCACTAGCCTCTGAAAAAAAAATTTAACATGTGTGCAGATTGTGTTTGTGTGCAACCGTGTTAGGAATTGTAAAATGTAGATTTAAAGTTTGATTTTTTTTAATTATGTTGCCTTAATTGTCTGTTTGAGTGTTCATGTGCACATCAGAGGGCGACTTGTGGGAGTTGGTTCTCTCCACCTTGTGGGTCTCGGGTTGTTGTTTGTTGTTGTGGATCCTGCAACTCCCTGAGCCATCTCTCTGGCCCTGAAGTGTTTTCTCTTCATGTGTTAATTGCATTTGTTAAGAATTATAGAGCTCCTTGCTTTAAAATTTCACTTAAGGTTTGGGATGTAACTCAGTGGTTATCGCACCTGAGAAAAAGATGGAGTCAGGAAAGAGGAAGAGAGGAGAGTGTTCAATGTGTGTGCGTGTTTACACCAGAAAAGCTATAGGCTCACATTGTTATATTTTCAAATCTCATATTCTCCTATGCCAGTACAAAGACTGTTGATGACCCACTCTTGAGGATCACTGCTTTTACAGATGACCCATGCTTCCTGATTGTGTAGCCTTAAAACTTTGGGAGACAGCAGAATGTCTCTTCTTTTTTGTTGTTTTTAGAGGTTTATTTTATTTCTAATTGTGTATGTGTGTGTGTGTGTGTGTGTCTGCGCACACGTGGGGGTGGATGCTCTTAAGTGCAGGTGTCTGCCGAGACCAGGAGCATTGGAGCTGGAATTTCAGTTGATTGTTGAGCTGCCTGATGTGGATGCTGGGAACTGAGCATGGGTCCTCTGCAAGAGTAGTAACATATTAACTGCTGAGCCATCATTCCAGTCTCCCATCTTTTTTAAATAATCAAACTTTACAGGCTGTTTGGATCTTTCATCTTAATTTTCCAACTCTTGTTTATCTGGGAAGAAGAAATTAAATTTATATTCCCAAATTCAGTATAGCGTTTAAAACAAAAGTGTGGATAGAAAGAGTCTTACATTGTGTTGCTAATTATTAGCACCTCAGAATCACTTGTGTATGCTTTGTGAGGCCCAGTGTGTGTCCACAAGGGGGATGTGCTTCTCTGCTGTGTGCTGGCTTACTCTGAGCCATTCATTACCTGATATGCTTCTTATCCTGGATTTCTGATATCATAGACATAGTACCTTTTATAGTTGGCCTGTCCTCCACTAATGTTACATAAATGAAAAGTTGACGGGGTGGTATGAATTGTAGGAAATAAGCAAATTGTAAGAGGTTAATATGGGAAAAGTCCTTATATTTAGAACAGTTGTGTGCTAATCCTGTTATTTGTAAGGAAGGAATTTATATCTTTTATTTTTAAGATTTGTTTGTCTGGCAGTGGTGGTGCATGCCCTTAATCCCAGCACTTGGGAGGCAAAAGCAGGTAGATCTCTGAGTTCAAGGTCTACAGAGCGAGTTCCAGAACATCTAGGACTACACAGAGAAACCCTGTCTCAAAAAAAACCACCAATTTTTAAAAAATTGTATATTAGTGTTTGCATACATGTATGCGTATGCGCCATATACTTTGGGGTGCTTGCAGATCCCAGATGAAGGCAGGAATCCCTTGGGACTGGAGTTCAGGGAGTTGTGGCTGCATTATTGGTTCTGGGAACCAAGGCCAGGTCCTCTGCAAGAGCAACAAGTGCTTATAACCACTGAACCATCTTTCCATCCCAACAATTTGCATCTTAATAACTTGTTTTTATATTGAACACAGAACTACTGTGTTTGGCAGTTTGTGTGTGTGTGTGTGTGTGTGTGTGTGTGTGTGTGTGTGTAGTGGGGAGGAGACAGAGCTGTGTGTGCATACAGCAAAGTGCATATGCTAGGTGCACACTCCAAGTCAGAAGACATCAGAGACCTTGCTCTTCCAGCCTACCTAGTCCTTTGAACAGGGAACAGGGACTCTCACTGAACCTAGAAACCTAGAAGGAGGCTGGCTGCCAGCAATCTCCAGTGAGCCTCCTGTCATCCACCACTTACACTTACGTGCTCGGGGTTTATAGGCATGTGACCATGCCTGGCTTCCTATGTGAGTGCTGGATGTTTGAATTCAGTTCTCATGCTTACACAGCAAACACTCCTTCCCGCTGAGTCATCTTCCTTGCCCGGGTTTGATTTGGTTTTTCAGTTTGGAGAGGAGTCATGTAGGGGTCAGAGAACAACTTGCAGGAGTTACTCCTTCCTACCTTATAGAATCTGGGGCTCAAACTCAGGTTATCAGGCTTAGTCCAAAGTATTCCACCTGCTGAACCATCTTGAGGGTCTTGGTAGGTTTTTTGCTTTTGTTTTGAGACAGGGTTTTGCTGTGTATCTGAGCATGGCTTTGAACTTGAGACATTTCTTTTGCCTTAGCCTCCCCAGGGCTGAGATTATAGGCATGCACCACCAAACACGGCCAAAGACTATTTTTTAATGTGTAAAAAATGACGGGCTGGGGCTCAAAAAAAAAAAAAAAAAAAAGTAGGGTTAGATGTGTTCTTGCATATGATTTCAGGACTAGCCAGGGCTATATAGATTCTGCCTCCAAAATAAAATACAGACCGAAATAAATAACCAAGCATGATAGGTGTTTTGTGTTTGTAATCTTGTAGTTCCAGCTGTGGTGTGGCAGAGATGGGCAGATCTCTGAGACTTGCTGGCTAGCCAGCCATACTTTGCAAGCTCTAGATGAGGGAGAAACCCTATCTCAAAAAACAAGGTGGACATCCCTGAGGAATGAATGACACCTAAGGTTGTCCTCTGTCCTCTGGCCATCACACATGTGTGCATGAGTCCTGCACACAGACACAAAGGATTGAATAATTTGATTCACTTGGATCTGTTTTTTTTTAATTATTATTATTTTTTTAGTTATAAAAGTATGGGTATGTGCATGAGTGTGCCCATGGAGTACAAAAGGGGGCATCAGATCTTCTTTCTGTAGCTGGAGTTAAAGGAAGCTGTGAGCAACCTGGTAGGGGTGCTGGGAACCGAACTCAGGTCCTCTCTAGCACGTCCAGTCTGCACTAATGTCCACTTAATAGATTTTTCTGGATGATTGTTTCATTGTTTGAAACAGTCTTGTTATTGACCTATGTCCTTGGGCCTTCTTCAACTTTAGTACCAGAATTCTAGGCCAAGGCTACCACTGCCAACTTCTTTTGGTAAATTTTTATATTTGATACTGTGGTTTTCCTTTTTAAATTTTTTATTACTTTGTGTGTGGGTACATGTGCCACAGTGCTCTCAGTGGTGTTCAAGTACAGCTTTTGAGGAGCTGGTTCTTTCCTTCTGCATTATTATGTCAGTTCTGTGTGTTGACCGCGAGTCAGTAGTTCCCCTAGTTAGGTTCCTGCTGCTGATAGAACAGCTTGGGGAGGAGCAAGTCCATGCTGCTTACACCTCTCAGTCACAGTCATCACTGCAGAAGACAGGACAGCGTCTTAGGCAAGGAACCTGGAGGCAGGAACTGAAACAGAAGCCATGGAGGAGCACTGGATACTTGTGTTTCTTATCCTGGTCATTTATGGATGCTCTGGCTGGTCCTCAGAGCCAGTGTCCAGAGTAACACTTAAAGAAGATTTTGAGATTGTCTACTATGTAGCAAAATTTAAGCTACAGCTGAGATTAAAAATAATTTTTAAATTATCTTCTAAGCCAAGCGATGGCACACACCATCAATCCCAGCACTCTGGAGGCAGAGGCAGGCAGATCTCTGTGAGTTCGGTGTCATCCTGATCTACAGAGTGAATTCCAGGACAGACAGGACTACACAGAGAAACTCTGTCTCAAAAAAGAAAAAAAAAATCTATCTTCCATATTTTCTGTATTATCATGGAAAATGATAGACTTATTTCTAACCTTATCCCCCGAAAGACCATCCTTGTCAAGTAAACTATGTGATACCATGTAGTTTGTGTGTGGTTTCCATCTTGAGGCCTGTTTTTAAAAACAATGCATTGGCAGTGGCTAGAAGTACACAATCTGAAGTTGTAATAAACCAAAAAACCCTGTAGACTGTTATAAAAATTACAACATTTTCTTTCCATTTTTGAGACAGGATATCATTTATGTAGCCCTGGCTGGCCGGGTCTATGCTGGGATCAAACTTCAACTGATAGAGTATCAACATGAAATAGAATAGAAATTAAAACTGTATGTGGTTTTAGTTATTGACCAGAAATTAACAGAAGTATTAAATCTTTAGAGCAGCTAATATTGACCTAGGCATACCAGGCTTGGTCTAATTAATGCCCATAAAACATTTTGAAGAGCCGGGCGGTGGTGGTGCACGCCTTTAATGCCAGCACTCGGGAGGCAGAGGCAGGCGGATCTCTGTGGGTTTGAGACCAGCCTGGTCTACAAGAGCTAGTTCCAGGACAGGCTCCAAAAAACCACAGAGAAACCCTGTTTGGAAAAACCA